CCGCCCCGCGCACCGCCCCTACCTGTTCCTCCTGCAATCATGCCCACCGACTTGGCCGTCTTGACCACAGGGCTGGACTTCTTGTCGGGCCGGATGGCAAACTTCCCTAGGAGAAGGGACCGGGGCTCAGGGGAGGGCACAGCTTGGCCAGCTGGTCACCCACAGACAGCAGACCCAGGGCCGGGGCCCGGGGCCAGCGTCCCAACCGGAGTCACCTCTGCCCTGGTACACCAGCAGCCCATTGGGGCCCCGGAACTCGATGGTGTCTCCGACCTGCATGTTCTCCAGGTACTGGGACATCTTCCCCCCAGCGGGAAACTTGGGATGGGTGTCCTTGAAGTAGACCTGCAAGACACACGCGTGGCCCTCAGCACCCAGCCCCGTGACCAGGCCTCACCCCTGTCCAAAGCAAGGGCCTCTTTGGGGTACCCTGTCCACCGCCCACTGAATTCCCCACCCCAGTCCTGTGCTCCAGGTCTGTCCCTCACTGAACGGACTAGGGCAGGGTGTCTACCAGGTGCGCCAGGCAGCGGCTTCCCGGCTGCACGTCACTTTCCACCGACCCCGCCCACCCCAGCCGGTCCCCACATTCACCACCACAGCAAAGGCCCTGGGGTCAGCACATGGCTCTCAGGACAGCCCCTACCACCACTACCAGCGCAGCCCTAGGGACCACACCACCTTGGGGAAAGGGAGGTGCCAAGATGGGACCCGCCTATGCAGAGCCAGGGACAGGGCCAGAGACAGGCTGGAGGCAGCGGCACACATGGGAAAAGGAGGCTGGAAGAGGAGGGCGGGTTTTCCGTGGCCGTCACACAGGGATTATGTGGCAGGGGAAAGGCAGGGAAAGTACCCTGTTGCTCTTCTAGTGCCAGGCCAGAATTATGACCTTTGTTGAGAGCCAACAGGAGCCAAGAGGACCTAGTCATCCAAGAGCTCCTCCTCCATACTGGCCCCTGTCCTTCACTGCATGTGACCGGAGGTCCCATCGGGGCACTGCCGGTCCCTCCCCTCCTGTGCCCTGGACAGAGCCTCTGAAGCCCCCAGGAGCCAGTGGCCTCTCCCCATCTCCCAGCCGGGCTCGAACCCCCTGCCCTTCTGCTGCTCCAGTCCCTGAACCTCCCTGGTACCTCAGGGCCTTTGTACAGGAAGGTCCCTTCCTTTGCCAGAGCACCCCTACAAGCACCCATACAAGCAGCCCAGCCAAGCACACTGTCACTCCTCGAGCTCAGCCTGCTGTCCTTGTCCCAGAATGACCCCAGGCCAGGACCCCGGAGTCCGATGGGCATGGTCACCCCATGAGATTCGGGGGCTGAGCTGCGGCCCACATGGGTTTCTTTTCCTTCCAAGAAGGACCAGGGTCGGGGTGCAGCTCGGGGGTAGAGCCCCTGCACCTCAGCGTTCATAGAGGTACTCAGCAAAGGGGGCTCTAGGGGCCCAAAGGGGCCTGGGCCCTGCTGTCCCCAGCATCCCACAGGCAGCAGCTGGGCTGGTTCTCACCAGCTGGGCACTGTTAGAACACGGTCCTCGCAGTAAAGCTCAACTTCTAATTTCTGTAAATTGTCATTATGCCTCCTACCCCATCTACTCTTCGTGATGTTTTTGTTTTTTTGTATTTTTGTTTTTGGTAGCACTGGGTATGAACTTAGAGCCTTTGCACCAAGCTACATCCCCAACCCCTTTATCTTTTATTTTGAGACAGTGTCTTGCTAAGTCATTACATTGCTCAGTCTCTGCTCCAGCTTGCAACCCTCCTGCCTCAGCCTCCTCGAGGCAGTGCTGGGATTACAGCTGTGTACCACCCCTTCCAGTGCCATGATGTTTTCTGGGGTCGCTGCAGGGCACGTCGTGTCTCGTCTGCCACTCCTGACAGCTACACCTCCCTCATCACACGTGTCCCTGACCCAACCCAGATACCCCATCAGCCGTGGACTCCACACAGGCTCCTGGTGACCCGTGGGTCAGAGGGGCCCTGCCACAAGCACTCGACGGGAGAGAGGTCCCTGGGCTCCTCCTGAGTCAGAGGGAAGGGGCTCAGCCACTGCTTGGCCTTGTGGCTGGTCCCGGCATGGCGTGGCAGCGTCCCACCTGCAGCTGCTGAGCCTGAACCCCACGGCTCTGTGCCAGGACCCCTCCCCCGGTCCCCTGAAAACTGCAGTTTGTGATTCACTCAGAAACCTGCCACAAGGGGGCGATGGGCTTGGCAGACCAGGTGGTGGGCACGGGCCTCTTGGAGGCCTCGGCTGGGTTGTGGCCACTCCGCCCTGCCCCGTGGCCAAGCCAGGGACTCACCTTGATGACCAGGTCCACAAAGCCCTTGTCGTCATCACTGGAAACGGGAGTGTAGGGCCGGATGACCAGGTTCCCATCTATTCGAGCCGAGAGGTAGATGTGCTGGCCTGAGGGACAGGAGAGGTCACTGCAGGGCAGGGTCGCGTCGTCCCACAACCCTGTGTCCCGCCCTGGGTACTACCACGTCCAGCAGCCTGCCTCTCCCCTCTGCCCTGCCGGAAAGCTCTGCCCACCAAGGCCAGGCCACTGTCACCCTCCCTGGGCTCCCCGCCGCCCCCGAGAACACCCGGCACCCAGGACTCACCAATGGGCAGGCCCAGGATGTGCTGCGGGGACGGCAGGGCAAAGCGGAAGCGCCGGGTGTCATGGCTGATGACCTGGGGGACGGCACAGAGGCGAATGGCTCACGGGGCTGAGACACGGCAGCCCCCACGGCCCACGAGGCCCGGGTGCCAAGAGCTCAAAGCCAGGTCCCAACCTGCACGTGCTGGGCACCAGTGCCTGATCACCAGCTGGGAAGGTGGCAGCCACTCCCTTCGAGGGACACAGTGACAGCCCTGCCTTGGGAAGTGGGGCTCGGGCGGCATCACACAGTTCTGGGATCAGGCAGCCAAGGGGCCACCTCACACCCGCACGTGGCAAGGTCGCAGACTGACAGACTGGCGTCGCCTGGAGAGGACAACAGGCTTCTCCCAGGAGACCCAGCACTGTGGACGGCCATCTGGGCTCCGTGCAGGGAGGACCTCCTGTCCCCCACAGGGTGCCGGCCCAGGGAACCTCCTGGAGAGGAGCCACCCCGGGGACCAGCAGTGGAGGTGAAGGTCGGGGCATGGCCTGGACCCCGTGACCTTTGCCTATGGCCAGGCCAGGGGGTGGGAGTTCCTGGGAGTGAGTCCAGGGCGTTGGCCGGGCCTGGGGTCAGGGCCGCGACCTCAGCACAGCCTGGCGGGGCTGGTGCTGAGAGGGCAGGACCAGCTCCTCGCAAGAGGAGTGAACTCATACAGCGGACTGGTATAAGTCATTCGCTACTTCCAAATCCAACATCAATAACAAGGGAAAGGCGGTGCCTCCGCCTGCCTCACAAGCGCAAGGTCCCGAGTTCGATCCCCAGTACCAAAAATAAATAAATACATTAATTAAATAAGGGGAAAGATTACAAAAAAAAAAACAAGTCTGAAAATATGATTTGTTCGAAGGAAAACGTGTGAGCGCCCATTTGTGCTGAGACATTGGAGGGGTGAGCGCGGTCCCGCCGGGCAGTGGAGGCCAACTATTTTGTTTTTCACTTCTGTCTCGTTTTCAACTTTCCTGCGAACTCTCAGGACGGGCCAGACTCGTCGTCCTGTAGGTCACAGGCAACTGCAGGCTGCGGCCACTGCGACCACAGCTCCCACACAGCAGGGATAGAACCAGACTGGCACAAGCTTCAGGGAGGGGACCTAACCAGGGCCAGGAAAGATGACTTTCTCCGCTGCGTGACTCAGTCCTCCCGCCACACCCCTGCAGGAGCTGGGGTGGGTGAAGAGGCGGTCATCGGGGAAGCAGGGACACTGGCAGCCAGGGCAGGGAGGGAGGAGGGAGGCTGGAGGTCCTGAGCCTTGAAGGCCGCACAGCTGAGACCACACAGGGGCCCTGCAGACCCCGAGGGCAGGCAAGCACCGGGCCATGAGGGACCGCTCTGGGGTGGGGAGGCCCCTTGACAGGGACTGTTTCGCCTCTGCCAAGTGGGGGCGCAGACCCTGAATTTCCGCAGGTCGCTGTCTCGGAAACCCGTGGCGGGGGGGTCTGAAAGGCTCCGCCACCTCCTGAGGCGCCGGCTCCCACCTCCTTGTCAACGAGCCGCAGCGGGTACTTGATGTCGGGGCTCTCGAGGGTGATGGCCGGCCTGGAGCGCTGGAACAGCTTCATGAGCAGGCTGTAGAGGAACCACACCGGCGAGAGCGCCACACGCCCCAACTGCACGGACAGACGGGCAGGCAGACAGACAGACACGTGAGTAACAACCTGAGAATCCGTCACATCACTCCCCGAGCCTGTGGGACCAAGCCAGGGTCCTCGTCCGTGCCCACTGGGTCCTCTTTCAGCTCGTTCCCCGGATCTGGTACCTTGCAACTTCCGGCTCTTCCCCAAAGTCAAAATGACCGAGGTAGGGGAACCCGGAACTGACTGAGGACATCAAGGCAGCCAGGTCAGGGCAACTAGAGACACTCACAAGAGAGCACCGGAGAGCTGCATCAGAAAGTGGCGGGGACGGCGGGGTGAGTGTTCCAAGTGACAGGGCGGACTCTGAGGGGGACCCAGTGCAGTGTCTTTTACTGTAATGATTTTTTTAAAATGAAACTCTCACTGTACAGTTTGATCACACCTGTACACATACATGACATCTAGTACACATGAGACAAAGATGAAGAGAAATAAAGCAACAGAGCCAATATCAACATCTTGTATCTCGAACTTTGAAGTTATTTCAAAACAGAAAATATTGCGAGGCCCCTTTTTGTAGCTCAGAAGCAAAGTTCACGTGAAACAGTGGCTCTCGAGAAAGCAGTTTCACACCTTGTGTATCTCCTGGGCTTCTGTTTTCTCAGCAAATGACTGTTCTCTTCTTACTGTAACCTAAAGTTCTCCTTTCACCTCGGCTGCCAGGAAGCTCAGAGCCAAGTTCCCTAGGTGCATGGAGCCCCTCTGCTCCCTCGGTGGGATCCGCTGCCGGCCTCTCAGAGCAGTGCATTGTCATTTCAGGGCCCAGCCCTACTGCCCTCGGTCCTGGGCTCACTACATTGTACAGCTGAGGCCTCACAAGGTACCCAGTTGTGTGACCGATGGGTTTGAAAGCAAAGCCCAGGGCCCTAGGTGCCCATGCACCTAAACCCAGGCCACACCCACCCAGCACTTCTTGTATGGCCTCGCCCAGCCGAGGCTCCTCTAAGGCCCTGGTGGCAGCCACAGACTGAAAGACCGGAGACCTGGGCTTGAGGCCCAGCTCAGGAAAGGCCATGAGCAGTGGCCACAGACTCTGGGCTGGTGCTGCTCCGAGTGTGGGACGCAAACTCCCAGGGTCAACCCCACTCAAATCTGTAGGCCCAGTAGGGAAACTGAGGCCCAGAGGGTTGGTAACTACCCCAAGTCCCTCTGTAAGGAACACAGAGACACCACAGACTGTCACACCAAATTCTGAGCAAGATTAAGGGACTCCAGGCCCAGTCAGTCCACAGTATCCAAATCACCAGGCACTTCTACCCCTCCTCAAACACCCGCCCTGGCTCCCCACTGCCTCCCTTTGGGACACTTGCTCCCTGGCACCCTGCACCAGCCTGCCCTTCAGCCCTGCTCCCTCACAGCAAGCCGGTCCTGCTCCAGGCCTTTGCATATGCTCTCCTCAGCTGGGCATGGTGGTACATGTCTGTAATGCCAGCACTTGGGAGGCTGAGGCAGGAGGATTGTCACGAGTTCAAGGCCAGCCTGGACTACATACTGAGACTCTGTCTCAAACCCTTCCCCCGACAAACAAAAACAAAAACTCTCTCCTTTCTGCCCCCAAACTCTCTGCCTCTGCACAAATCCAAACAGTGGCTCCTATTCATCCTCCAGAGCCCAGCTCCCATGCCCATCCCTCACCACCCAGGCCTTGATGGACTTTTCCCAACCTCGGCCCTCTGTAAACAATCCTGAAGCTTCCCCTGCTAGAGACCGCTCCACATCCAGCCAAGAGGCCACCTCCTAGGGGACACGGCTTAGGGAAAGGCTGAGTTCTGTGTGTGTGCAGGAAGTTGCCATTGTTGGGAGCCCTAGAGAAGGAGCTCAGTGACATCTCCAGGGAGGGACGGCCTTTCTACTCCCAGCACAGAGGCTCAAGTTCACAGTCACCAGCCTTCAATGCCCAGCTGGCTTCCCGTACCCTGCTGCCCGAGACTCAGGGAGCCCAGGTGCCCCACCCCTGCCGAAGCCCACACTGCCAGCCTGCGGCAGGTCACAGTGCAGTCCCAGTGCCCGGGGCGGGTCCCCCAACACTGCCCAGGCCCCAGCAGGCCCTGCCCAGCCTCCAGACGCCCAGGTAACTCGGAGCCAGTCTCTCACCAGCGCAGCCCGCGCTCAGCACAGCAAATGCTCAACAAATTCTTGTGGAATGAATTAGCGGAGGGACAAGAGCCACCCCTGCTTTGTTCTTACTCTTTTCATTCCTTCTGGAAGTTTCCAGAACTGGAGCAGGAGGGTGGGGTCCGGCCATCCTGTTTGTCACACACCACGGCCTGGGACGCAGTACTCAGAAGCCTGTGGTGCTGCGGGCAGCCAGCGCCCACGGGACTTGCTACCTCGAGGGGGTGGGAGCTGCCACCACCCCCATTCCAGGTGAGGGAACTGAGGCTCAGACAACAGACCTGAGCAGGTCATTACTATCTGTCAGTGAGTCAATCAACAAACCCTACTGGGCATTCCAGGGCCTAAAGTAGGGGACACAGACCAAGAGACCCCACCCTGAGGAGCTCAGGTGAGAGGGAGGGACAGATACGGGAGAGGAGGGTGCACAGTGGCCAGGAGCAGTGGAGGGGCAAGGACTTGTCTCTCAGTCAAAGGGCTGACTAGATGGCCCGTGGTGGACACTGTCCCTATCCCGGGCCACTGCAGGGGCCAAGCGCACAACAGGCAGGTGGCTGAGGCCAGGCCCTGCCCCACAGCGCTGGCAGAGGCCGCTTCACTCGGCCACCCACCCGGGGACCTCGGGACAGCTGCCCCCCAGCCCTGGCCTGGTGCCCCGAGTCGCAGCCGCCCTGCAGGCCACACTCTGCCTACCAGAGTGGGAGGAGGAAACCAGACACAGAGTCCAGGACACCGGGGAGCCCCCACTCCCGCACCACAGCCCACGGGCTGCCTCTTTGTGTCCCTGCCCCACACCCATGGGACGGCCTGCCCAGCTGCCCACGCTGGCACTGCCCCTGTGACCCTGGTGCCCGTTCCCCAAGCAGGGGCCCAGAAAAAGCACTGGGGGCTTGCTTACCTGCCCACCACCTGCCCACTGCCGTCTCCAGGATCCAAGTGACCATCTCCCTCCAGCCCTGGCCGATCTCAGTGGGAGGAAGTGGGAGGGAGACAGGAAGTCGGGTAGCGGGGGCTCAGGGCCAGCCGGGATCACAGCGGGGCTCCCAGGAGGGGACAGGTGTGCGGCCGAGTCCCCCACACCAGGGAGACGTGGCTCTGCTCCCAGGGCGCGGAGCCCTGCACTCGCTACCTGTGCAGTGGTCCCGTCCAGGCCTGGAGGGCACCCGGGGCTGGGTGGGGGAGCAGGGGAGCCGCCCCTGAAGTGTGGACGCCTCCCGCAGGGCCTGCACAGCCCAGATAAGAGGCTGCTGCTGCATCAGGCCCCTGCAGCCCTGCAGAGGGCGTGGGGTGCTGTGCAGCCTGCAGGGCAGGACGCCTGGCTCAGGTGTGCCCAGGGTGTCCCGGCAGGGCCCTCAAAGTAGGGGCCATGCCCAGCGCTCCTTGCACAGATGAGGCCAGGGGCTGATGAGCGTCCCCGCCCCTCAACAGGGAGAGGAGACTGTCACAGGAAGGGAGGGGCGGCCCGGCCGGGGTTGAAGGACAGGTGCCCCTACACAGGCCACAAAGGCTGGAAGGCGGAGGAGGGAGGTGGTGGGGCCTTGAGGGACGAGGAAGACAACCTCTGCGGCCTCTGTGACCTGCCAGGCTGTCGCACTGGGGGCCCACAGCTCTGTCCCTGCGTCTGAGCCCCGCCCCCAGAAAGCCCCGGCTGGGCCAGGCTTTCCCAGAGGCCTGGCACCTGCCTCCCCGAGGGGATCCTCCCGGCGCCAGCCTTCCCACGCCCAGCAGCCCAGCACAGCCAGCGTGCATGGCGTGGGAGGGGTGGCCGGGGCTGATCTTGAGAAATCTCCAGAGGAAGCCAGGCGCAGCAGGCAGCGCACCTGCAGTCCCTGCGCTTGGCGGCGGAGGCGGGACTGTGGCTTGTACCCAAGAGGTTTAGACCAGCCTGGGCAACAAAGCAAGAGTGGCCTCAAGAAACAGTAATGAAGTAAGGACCAGGTGAGGAGAGGAGGCGGCCTCAGGAGAGGCTGCG